AAAAAAAAAAAAAAAAGATTGGCCCAGAAAATTTGACCTAAAGCTCTTTGTCACATACCCTTATGTATTCAGTGTAGACACAGACTCGCTGTATGCAAACTGTATTTCACGTCCTCCATATCCCTTCCATTTGCTTTGTGAATTTTTGAGAACACAAGTAGTACCCTAAGGCAGGTAAGAAAATTGTCCACTAACATATTTAGTATTGTAGGTTAGTAAGAAGACAGTGAACTCTAAAAATGCCAAATGCTTTCAATAAGAAACCTAGCAAAACAGGGAGTAAAACCAGCTAAACACAAACCATGAACGTGGAGCTGACAAATACAGCCAGTGGTGATGGCATGCATAATCTGAAGGACACTTTTTTCTGGACACACACCTAACAGTTACTTCTCTTAAAGCACAATATTCACATGCCTAGAGTTGATAGAAGTTATTCATGACACTTGTCCTTGATCAAGGTTCAGAATCAAGTTCACTAACCAAGTCTTTCATCAGAATCACCTTATCATATATTATTAAATATCACTTACATTTGTTAACCCTCCTCCTTTGCTGTGTTTAAGAACTAGAAAAGAAAATTAATATGGTTTATATGGAGAAGAATTAAAGTTCAATCTAAAATAACCCTAAAGTTGATATGAAGAAAGGGAAGTAAAATAACTCAAGGTGTGCTAGTTACAAGCCAACAGAAAATGTATTTCCCTTACATTGTTTACCATTGATAAGAGCAAGAAAATCCACATGTATATGAAACATCCATTTATGTGCTCTATGGATTTTTATTTGCAACATTGATATTTCAGGATCATCAAATCAATATACCTAATATATCCTATGCCAAAACAAGACATAATATATTGTAGTAATACTTTGCTACATTTTCTCTAATATAAAACATTTCTGAGGATTCAAACAGCAAATAAATAGGCAAAAAAACCCATTCAGTATTATTCTATCTTTTGTTGCAAAGGAGATAGAACAGAACCCAACAAGAACTGTTTACTTCCTTTCCAAGGGAAAAGGCAACTCCATTACATGAGATAAGCACCAGTTTCTGTTACTGACACGCATCATTAGAAACAGAAGCAGCAAGTCCCTTACTGTCTTCATATCACTTTGTACTGTTCCGACACAAATAGCCACAGGCAAAGCCAAGACTCGAGACGCCCCTTTATTTAGGCAGAGGAAACTGTTCCATTGGTATGAAACCTGTTTAGCCAACCACAGCTCCATATCACAGCTGCAAAAATTGTGACAACCTTCATTTCCCCTTCATTTTCCACAATGACCTTGTATGACAATGGGAACCAGTGTAACTTTAGCAGCTTCAGACTGGTAGATTAAACCCCCTATTAAAAGTAATTAAGGCTTGGTGCACAAACTGATGAAGCTCTGAGAGAGACCAATGCCTGACCCTATCTAAAAGACAGCCTTGTGCTTACAGCATTCCTTAGCATTACAGCTCTTAATCTTCAAGCCACTGGCTCTTTTAGGATGTGATGGCCTCTACATGTCCTGCTGAAGCTGCTACACCAAGCAACACAGAACTGAAAAATCAATTCAACCAGAGGAAAAGAAAGGCAGAAGGAGGCTTTGTAACACAATGGTCAAGATGAGACAGATGGTTCTGGACCCTGCACCAAAGGCACTGTCACTCGTAACTTGCTATTTGTTCAGAAAGTCAAATACAACATACAGAAAAATCCCTTAAGGCACAAAGGGTGTCCAATGTTCTATCTCCAACTGAAGAATGAAAAAAAAAATCCTTTTCTTCTCACTACCTCCAATCTAACTTACGAGCAGTACACTCTTTCTTAAAACTTTTGGAGAGGCCAACACCCTTTCTGATTCACCTGTCTTCAGGCAACCCGCTCTGCCAGAAGCAGTTCAGTTTTTCCAGGGTGGAGAAGTGAGAAGCAGCTGGAACCTGGTGCCGATAACACTTCACGCAAGGAGTAAATTACTGGCAGCTGTTTTTGTCCCCCCTGTCTCAGGGGAACAGTATTGCTGCTGACTAATCCTGTTTTACCTAACACTTTCTGATCTCTTCTAAACTTTTACAGAAAGCATCCTTTGAGCAAGCTGAGACAACAACTACATGGCTTTCTTAGGAGGAGAAAAAGAGTCTGAGCTGTAGTGAACTAGAGCCTGCACATGGACGTGGCTGTCACCACAGAATGGCATCAGATAGCCATGACTGTGTGTTGCTACTAAGATCAGTTTTGACTTACAGATGCACATAAAAATACAAGGAAATACTTAAAAATTAGATTTTCTAAATAAGAAGTTACAGCAGAACTTCGAGTGCTGGAGGTCTTTTCACCAAAACTTCACCTGATTCAGGCAGGGGAATTGATTTGCATTAAAAATTCCCACCAAAAATGCCAAAGTGGAAGTTTTTATTCCAGTTTTTATTATGACCTTCTGGTTTTAAAAAAAAATGTAATTAAAACCATTTTACATTGAAAAGTCAATTCCACACTGCATTTTTTAATTCTATACAAATCCTCCTCTAGACATTCTTACAGGCAACAATTACTGGTATGTATTACAGCAGTCACCAGTATTGTGCAGCAACTACTGTTCACTTGCACTCAGTGAAATGAAAATGTCTGGCATTAATACGTTTCACAGGACTTATCACAAAAA